CTCTCTCTCTCTGTTTCTTCAATCCAAATATTTTTTAAAAAGCGGTATCTTTTTATAAAAGAAAAACTTTGAAAGGTAATTTTAACGTTTTATTTTGTTTAGATTAAAGATCACGAGAATTTAATCAAAATGTAACACACATCTTGTAATCCTCATATGAAATTGCACTCTTTAATTGTCATCGATTATTATCAGTAATTACAAAACATATTGTCGAATTTACGTAAATTTGTTTAGCTGCTAATTATTTGTACATTAATTAAATAACAGAGTTTAATTACTTTTAATTAACAATGTGCGTTACAATCGAATATCTCTCGAATTCGACGTTGGATATAAAAGAGAGATAAAGGGGATAAACAAAGAGCATATAAAAGCAACGTGTAGCAACACAAAAGTACATATTTGCTTGTATTACAATACACTTTTATGCAGTTCAATATATATATATATATGCAAATATATATATGTATATATACACACATACATGTTACATATGTCATAAATTTAGAACTCTTAAATATAGCGCCCTGCTCTCTTGGGATAGCAAGCGGGAGGGTGTGCCTGGCGGCTTCTCATCCGCAACTTCTCTGCGAAGCAAATAACTTTTCGCCGTTGAATATTCGATTCTATAATAAGAGAGAGAAGATATTTTCGAAACACGTTTGATACTTTTGAGTTATCGTGCCGTTGAAAATCTGTTTCGGATTGAAAATTCGATTTTTCCATCCGAAACAGATTTTCAACAGCACGATAACTTTTCAACGGCGCGCATAACATGAGAAGATATTTAAATTTTAATGTAAAACTATGCTAAACACAATCTCTTTACTTTATACTTACGATTAAACCATCTTCGTATGTCGTAACATTTTTTTTTTTTTTTTTCAAGAACTCGTTACCGTTAAAAGAAAAAATTACTCGCGCGGCGATTCACATTCGCGAGTAATCGTCTTATAAAATAATACAGATTTTTCTGAACGCGCCGGGGGCGTTCGTTTTTACGAGAAAACGCTTCTCGGATAAACGAGAAAGACCCTCTCCCCTTCTTTAAAAATTTTCCACCGGGAATCTTTCCGGACGGGGATTCTCTTTACCGGAAACAACAATGCAAATATCGCTCGATGTTCTTCAGACTCCGGTGAGAGTGGCCGACCGGATGGTAAACGGACGGGAGGGTGGGTCCAGGACCTGAATATCGCATTACCATCTCAGACAGCGAGACGAAGGCTTTTTCGCAGCGGGTGATCCTGAAACGAGATCGCCTCCGAAAGCCCGAAGATTTATGCCCCGCGCGGTTTCTCGTTACTTCCTCAACCAAATATCCTCTCCTGGGCTTTTCTCCCGCACACTCTGCACCCATCGACCTCTGTCGTTCTTCCCAACTTGACTTTCTCTCTCTCTCTCTCTCTCTCTTTTTCTTTTTCTCGAAAGTAAATATTTATGATAGATGTAAATAACAAGAGTGAGATAATTTTCTCTTCACGAGCTACTTTTGTTTACATCACCGCTTTCTCTCTCTTTTTCTCTTTCCGTCTCTGTTTTATGTATGCGCGCGTGCTTCGCCATTTCCTATTCTAGATTCTCCGACGACGTCGTTTCCGTTTGTTTCGCTCAGTGCGCATTGTTGTTTGCGCACTTTCTGCGACATCGGGTTCAATCCTGACACATCCGATTTACGCGTCGAAACACACCGAAATAGTCTTTCTCTCTGAACTTGTAAGTCCTTCGAGACGCGACATCTCAGAGTGCTGATTTAGCCTTTCGTGAGATGTCAATAAAATATCAAGATAGGTTTTGACATTTAAACGTTTCGATTTGAACACTGAACGTTTGTTTTTTTTTTTTTTTTTTTATGATGATAATAAGAGAATGTAGAACATTGATTTTGTTATCAAATGTTAAATTAATTAAAAAGTGGAGCGATGGATCGAACAAAACTTAACAAAGTTAACGTTATTATTTCCACGTCTTATACAATTTATGTGCCAATTACTATATACGCGGTAGTAACTCACGCGAATGCTGCTTCGAGCAAAACCCGTTCGATTTTCTTTTTATTCCTCTGATGCTGCAAACCGATGGCGCAAAAACGCAGCCGGTGGAAAAATCCCGAGCAGTCGTCTCTCGACCGATGGAATCGCGAATTCTCAAAGAATTAATTCCACATTAATACCTGCGCCCCAATATCCAGAGATATATAGCACACATTTTTTCGGTACGCTCTCCATCTCGATCGACCTAAGTCGATAAATCTCTTTGCAGACACGCGATGATCGCGAGCAAGAAAAGACGAATTGAAAAGACGTCGTTTCGTGCAAAATAAATTTCGCGAAAATACCTCTTGTGCGAACGAATGTTTCGCCATTGTTTTGAGAGAGAGAGAGAGAGAGAGAGAGAGAAAGAGAGAGAAGAAAAAAGAATTCTGATAAAAAAAGAAAAAAAAACAAGAAAAGAAAAAATCTTCAACTTAATGGCATTAATAACATCACCGACAGGTTATCAAGACTCTCTTCGCAGCTATAAAGCGAATGAAGCGACCAGTCGATTTCGTATTGGCACCCGGCGCAAAAAAGTGTGAGAATTAAAAACAGAAACATTCGAATGTTCCTCGGGAGAAGTCGTCGACGCTCTTCATTGAAAGGATTAAAAAATCCGTGCGCGCCGGGGATATATATATATATATATATATAGCACAACCGTTCGCTTACTTAGCGGGGGAAGAGAAAGGACCTCTTTTCTTCCTTCTTGTAGCATTTTCCGACCGTCTTCGTCCCTGCCCGCCAAGCCGTCCTCCTTCCCGCTTCGCCGCCCACTTTGCTGTTCTCTCTGTGTTCTCCGGAGAGGCCGCGACCAGCAATCAGCGTAATGCACCCGCAGACACGCTCCTGCCCGACCTCACCTCCACGTTGGCTGACTGCGCACGTACACACGCGCACAACGAACGTGTAAGCGCGCGCGTGTACAAACACAGGGAAAACGGGCACGGCGAACGGCCAAGGGTGCACATACTCTTGGGCCAAAGGCCCCGATAACACGAGAGAGCGAACCCCGAAGTAATGCAGACGGCAATGGCAATCTCTTCGAAAGCAACGAAATAGATCGTACAACGTAGACTGATAAACCATTGCGGTGGCGGTAACCCTAACCGTTCCGTCTCTTCTCTTTCTCTCTCTCTCTCTCGCTCTTTTTTTTTTTACAAAAATTTCCCCGTAGAATCTCGTCGCGCAAGCTTTCTCGTGGAGTATCCTCCACGAAGCGTCGAAAAGTTTGTAACTTGGAAATTCGTTGGATGCTCTTTGTATGTATGAAGGATTTTCAGAAGAAATCGAAGGAGGAATATTCGAGGAAGATAGGAAAGACTACGTGCCCTTTTTAGTCGATTCGCGCATTCGAAAAATCTCTTGTTCCGCGTTGGAGAAGCGACGATATTTTAGCGATGAGTGAGTGTGCGTTTTGAAAAGCTTGTTGGATGCTTAATTTGCGGTAAGTCGGTTAGTTCGTCGGATTATCGGAAAGCTTTCAGTGTCCGCTCTTCTCGCGAACATGATGCGTTCGAAAATTGTACATAGAACGTTGCGAACGTTTAAATTGTTTTGAAATATGCAAATGCAGCAAAGCGTTCGGTATAATTTCAAAATGTAATAACATTTGGAAATAATTGCAAATTTGTTTTATCGCGGTAATATGACCATAATAATAAATAGTGTTATTGGTATTATTTTGTGTATAATTATTGTTAAAATATTTGCGTTCTTCCATGTGTGTATGTGTGCGCGCGTATATACATATACGAAAGAGACCGACCGCGCGAGAGAGTTCGAGATAACGCGACGGACACGTCTGTAACACGCGACAGAATGAAAAGGAGATTATTCGTGTGTGATACGACGCGAGATATTAATCCGACAATGACCTAAGACGCTAATTCGCGCTGATAGTGTACACCAGGGACACCTAGACGTCGTTTCGCTCCAACAGCGGGCGCGAGAACGCGCGCGCGCGCTCCAGCAAGCTCATTATTCTTCTTGTCCTGAGGGCGCATATCCTCTCTTTCTCTCTCTCTCTCTCTCTCTCTCTCTCTTCGTCTACGTGCGAATAATCTTCGCTTGGATTTCGCCATTGTATTATTGTGTCTGCCACCGGGTGATAAACTGCGCATTCCGCAGGGAACACCACTCCGCTCATTACTAATATAGTCGCGCGCGACGGCGCGTCCTCCTATCATAGTTAACGGAGCTCTCATTGCGTCCCGGGAGAAACCCGAAGTTAAAGCCGCACTCGTTCGTCTCAAAACGACCGAGTTCCGCGCAAAAATTAATCGTGAAAAATCATTACGAGAAATTTGTAATCAAGTTCGCAAGAATAGAGACAGGTTTCGTTTTTTTTTCTTCGATTTGTTTTTTTTTTTTTTTTTTTACTCGGCCGAAGTGAAAGAAACTTTTAAGACCGTAGAGGCAAAGAGAGGGGATTAAAGAGAGAGACGGCGCAATCGATCGCTGAATTACAGCCGCCACATTATGACTACAAAAGTTGCTGGAGCCGCACTTTCCGTTACAGCAGCGAATTAATCCGTAAGAAAGACGAGTCGATCGAGGGTCGTCGCGAGCCGATGATTCATTTCGAAGGAAGGGCACAATCGAGAACGGGCTGACGAACGGTGGTAAAGTGCATCGAGAGAGAGAGAGAGAGAGAGAGAGAGGAATCCGGTAACGCGAGAGAGAAGCGGTTGGGGGTGTAACGCAAACGGAAGATGCTGACGTGCGTGAACTATTGTCTATTCCAGGATATTCATCGGTGAGGGAATTACTCGAAGCTTCTGTCTTAATTTTCTCGCGCAACGATTTATCGAGCGACGAATTGTTGTGTATACGCGCATATATAAATAATTTTGCTTTACGCGAGAAGCGCAACTGAAACAAGTTACGTAATTAATTAAATAAACGTTGCACAGATTTAATAATAATTTGATTTAACTTTCGCTTTGTTTTTCTATCTAGCCAATAGGCATGCAGTTAAAGAAGTACGAGTGGGTAGGATCGCCGGACATCGGCGATTGCTCGTTGTGGGTTAGATCAGCCGCGTTAGAGTTCGACGACGGACTTTGGCAGTGCCAAGTGACCGCCAGTGATTTCACGACGCAGGACGCGTTAGCATCCGAACCGGCGAGGCTGGTTGTCAGAGGTAAGTGTTTGTTTTAGAGAAAATTATTCTCTCTTTCTTTCTCGCACACAACGTTAACAACGTTAACAACGTGAGTGAAAAAGTATTTTATTATAATCTCAAATTTCTGCGCGTATTTTTGTTTTGTATATTTATTCAAGATACCGAGATTATTCTCAGTGTTATGTTATCGGTTGTTGGATAATGTCGCACATATGTACGCAACGATAATTCATATAGCTAATTTCGGCGCGAGATTATTGAGAAACCGAATCGCGCGCGATTTGGCTGAATCGAGCGTAGCTTGTTTTCCTCGCATTAATATTTGTCACGACGAATTTGATTTTGAAAGCCGGTTGTGTTCGCGCGACGAAACATCAGAATCGACGTAATATTGTCGACTCGCGACGCGTCGCACACTCGCAGCGAACTCCGTTCTACATTCGATAAACACATATGTAAATTCGCGCTAACATTACTTGCATCCTCTCGCAATTACATCACTCAATTGTGTGCTCTTTATGCGTGCCTCGCGTGTGTGTTTTTTTTTCTTCCCGACAATATTAACGTCAGATTTACGTTTCTTGTCCGAGAATTGTGCCGTATTACGCCGGATATATACTCCGATTAATTTGTGCAATACAAAACAGGGACAAAACTTCCTTGTTGTGTTTCGTTCGCTTGATAATCCCGCGACACAATTAGCAATGAAGCAACGAGATTTTGTTATTTTGCGCGTTGCACCAAATAGAGTTAATTACACACTGGGACGCGAAATCCTTTTATCTGTAATCAATTGCAATGCAACACCCGGGCATGCACACGTTTATAATATTTACAACAGCCATATTCGCAATATTCTGAACGGGGGGCAATCGATATTTTGTTTTATATTTTATTTGCACAAGGAAGAGTTTGCTTTAGTTAAATTTCTACGGGAAAAAAATATTATTTGTAAAAACTGCTTCCTGCGCGAGTTTTGTTTTGTTTTTTTTTTTTTTTTTTTTTTTTTTTAAGCACTTTAGGTGCAGCTCACTTCACAGCTATACGATTAAAATTGGTGGCCGTCATATACGAGAAATCGTACAAAGTTTTCGATCTTGTTAACTTACGTTCGGATTAAACTGTTGGTTTAACGCGGCGCGCCATTTTCTCGCACTCGAGATCATAAATTCGCACGCGATCCAATCTACGCGCGACAGTGATTTTTTTTTCAGAAGCAAGAGAGCGCGTGATAAGTCTCGGTAACGTCTCGAAATAAGAGGGAAACCGCGCGCGACATCTTGCGATACTTGCAAGATTAATCTGTGCTAATTTTCTCATTCCAGTCAGTCCTCAGCGACCGCAGATAGAGTACGCCGACCGTCTAATTCTCCCCGGCAGCAACGTGACAGCCCGAGCAGGTGAGATCGCTACGCTCACTTGCAGAGCGCGGTATGGGAATCCTTCGCCTCTAATTAAATGGTTCGTAATTGTTGCACGTAGATTCCGTACTACTTAACTTGCGCGACTCCCTCGCTTGACGCGATCTCTCGCTTCGCGTGCCTCGCTCGCCTCTCTCTTTCCCTCCTCCCCCCCGTCCTTGTTATAGTCGCGTTTCTTCCGCTCATTTGCTCATTTCGTTGCTCGTTGCAAACGCATTCATTCGGCAATTTCGGCGGAAGCTCGCGAGCCTCGAGAAGTTAAAGGGAATATATTGCTAATAGAAAGAGGAAGAAAGAAAAGAGGAGGTGCACGCAATATGTTGTAAATTTGAATTTCTTGTTTAAGTTTTATCTTAGAATAGTGCGTGTGTGTGTGTGAGAGAGAGAACGAAGTGTTTGTTAAAAAATAACATATAAGAGAAAATCCATTTAATTAAATCGCACAATTTCTCTTTTTCTTTTCTCATCTAATAGCAAGTTTTCTCTTCTCGATTTCGGTGGTAACTCCCCGGTGATCTTTGCGTTATGTACACACTATTGATTCCGTGGCGCTTCTTACCTTCACAAACGCGTCTCTTCTTCATGTCTTCTATTGAAGTACTTGTTCCCCGTCGTTGCACGAAGATTCCACGTAAATGCATCGAGGACGCTGTCGATGGCGGAAAACACGCGCTTCATGAATAATCATGATCCATTCTGCATCGCACGCCGAGCAAAATTAAGGAGCTACATCGGAGCTGCATTTCGAGCGGCGGGAAAACACCGGATGTGTCGATGAGTGTCACGCGAAGGAGACTTGGCGCGAGAAGGGCGGAGCTTTTTTAGTTGGATTTTGTTTTTTTTTTTTTTTTATTTTAGATTAGCACGTTACGCAATGCTGTTCTGAGAGTAGAAAAACGCTCGCAGAAACAAAAGCGATAGTTTCATGCGATGGAACAAACACCGTGGGTTTATTTTTCTTCTCCCTCTCTTCTCTCTCTCTCTCTCTCTCTCTCTCTCATTCGATTTTAAACCTTGCAATTTTCGATTAGCAGGACAATATCCTCGAAGGACATCGAAACGCGCTTCAAATTGTAGACAAGGTCCCTCAGCAAGGCATCCGTTCTCCGCTGCACTTGCCCTCAGCTACTCTCTCGCTTATCCACTTACTCACTGGGAATTATCCTAATTGACATACGCGGCGCGGTGTGGGATATGTGTATGCATAACCGTGTTAATTATGACTGAGTAGAGAGACCGAAGAGAAAGACAAAGAGAAAGAGAGAGAGAGAGAGAGAGAGAGAGAGACAGAGAGAGCAATCAATGCAGAATTCGTGGCATTGAGCTTTTGTATATTCCAAAGACACACACAATTGTCGACGAACAAGATAATCGTCATAGTAATTACATTTGTTATTATGATGGTTATATCGTTACATTGTGTGTTACTGTCGTTTTCTTGCAAGTTTAACAATAAATTCTCGATGACGTTGAAGTTTGGAACGTTCGTCAAGCAAAACATTTTATTTCGCTTCTATTAATCAATAATGTAAAAAAAAATTTGTTATCTTATATTGACTTGTATCTTTAAAAAATTGATATTACATATCTCTCAAACTTAAAATCTCTCGAAACTTTGTTCGAAATTTTTTCGACAAACATTTCAAAACTTCAACGACATGAATTATTTCATCTTTTGATGTGTTTTGCAAATATTGTATTTTCAAGCGCTCTCTTCTCTTATGCTAATTTTGCCTTCTCTTTTGTATAACATAAATAAAAGATAGAAAACATAGAAATAACAAGTTGTTGAAGATTTTATGAAAGATACATTGGAGATGTAATATTGTTTACGTTTATTTATATTTATATATTTTTATTCACATCAAACACAACTGAAAATGAAAATTTTAATGTGTGAGAAACTTGCCGTTTGGAACTCGCAAAATTGAAAATACAGAACAATCCGTGCCGATGAACCTTGATTGGAAGATTGCGAAGCAAAAGAGGAGAGTAAGTGCATTTGGTAGAACAGTGAGAGAAATGTATGCGTGTGCGTGTGTGTGTGTGGTTGTGTGCGTGAAAGAAAGAGAGAAACACGACCTAACGAATATGACGAGGAGACGAGGGGAGTGAGTAAGAGTTGTTGCAGAACGGTCATTGGAAATGCAAATTTTCCGGGCGATATGCAGGTATGTTGGTGAGACCGAAGTGAGGACGCTGCGACCTCAAGTAAACTCGACCGAGGTAGATAATCCGCGCACTTGGGCGACCTACAGTGTTTGTGAGATTTTGGCCGAGCGAGCACGTTACGGCCAAGCGATCAGATGCGTCGCCATTCATCCAGCGTATCCCAATCCCACAATGTCGTCCAGCACCGAAGTAAGATTCGACGTGCGATGTAAGTAGACGCGATTTTCTTCCAAAACGTAGAGAAGAGAAGCACGGAAAAGATTCGAAAAGTCCGAAAGTCCGAAATCGGACGAGATCAATGTTAGCTTTTTATCTGAAATTGAAACTTTTCAATGCTTCTCTATAAATTTTAAACCTGTTATTAAGCCATTAATTTGAAAGTTTATCTAGAATCGAAGGTAGAGTAAAATTGTAATCTTCAAAAAACGAAAGACAACGAAAGATAGTGTATACGCGATAAATGTGTGTGAGTAATAATTAATAGTATAATTAATAATTATTACACATTTTCTTCTTCTATTTGCATCTGAAAGATTTTGAAAAAGAATACTATATTAACAATATATTACAATTTTCTCTGCTTGAATGTGTGAATTCTCTGTCAATTACATGAGCTCGTATTAAATTTCGTATTTTTGCAATTTTAATTTTTCGCATTTTTAAATATACCGATATCGATATTAAATCATTCAACTGTGCTCGTATTATATAGTATATTTCTATCATAAAGAGATGTACATTTCATGAATACGATATTTATTAAATTTCAATCTCAAATGTCACTGTAATAAACACTTTTTAGATATAAAATAAAATACTTGCTTCGATTGTATTTATTCATGATTGCGAGAAAAACTGCTTTGAAGAGAAAACGATGGAATAAAATTCACAAGAAAGAAAACAGAAAGAGAGAGAGAGAGAGAGAAGTTAAGATTGCGTTTTTTTTTTTTTGCATAATCGTGCCGGCTAACAAGTTTGTAGTATGCATAATGCTAACAGTAGAATAAGCTAGATAATATATACACGTTGGAACACACACCTTTCTTACAACTCTACTGTACACATCTGTATACATGTCGTACAATTACAGTTCAGAATGAAAAACTCGCGCGTTCTCTCTAATTTTCACCAGTATCAAAATAAATAAAGTCAGGTGAATATAAATTAGCGTAGTGTACATCTTTTTTTTGTTTTATCAAATTGCGAAAAAACATTTCGACCAGCGAAATGTCCGATTTTCCACGAAAAATGCAATTCCACAAAAAATCACCGTACCTGCGTGGCGTATAACACACTGACCTCAAAACCGTTCGCATCCCTGACCACTCTCAACAATGCATCGATTTAACTGAATACGTTCACATATAGGCGCGCGCGCGCACACGCGCAGTTGCAGGAAATTCTGTGAGTTTCCTCCTCTCTCTCTCTGTCTGTCTCTCTTCCGCTTCCTCTCTTATCAATCTCTCGCAAATTAGTTCGTGTTGTCGTGCGTGTTTTAACCTTGACGTCCGATTAAATGTTAAGGAGATTTAGATTTTAATGCACTTCCTCGCAATTAACATAATTTAATAACAATTATAATAACGTCGCTATTCTCGGTTTAGAATTTGTTTTGTCTTCGTCAGAGTTTCAAAGAATCTGATTTTTTCTTAAAATCAATAGTTTTGGGACACCCTGTTTGTGTGTACATATTGAAATCGAATTGATTGTTAAATCCAATGTTATGTAACATTAATTGGTGAACAGTTTCGATAGGATCGTATCGGATAATTAATACGTTAACTAGATTGGATCTCGCGCACACGAAAGTTTGCCTTTCCCCACATGCGAATTAATTTGGAGGACAGAATGAAAAAGCATCGCGCGCGTGCATATACGTGAGTATAAATATATATGCGTTACCTCGCGGTAAATTAAAAATCTTTTTTTGAAGTTTCACTTTTTCATTGTAAATAAATTATTAAAATTGCTAAACGCAAACCGTAACGAATTCGTTTGACTTTAGCATTCAGCACGTAAATAATAGGTTTATATTATGTGATAAAATCTCTCTGTTTGATTTCATTAAATATATATATATATATATATATATATATATGTATATAAAATGTCCGCACAAATATTCACATAATTAATGCCCCGAAAAAATAAAATTTATTTTCGTTATTTAGTTTTATAATAGAATAAACTTAAAAAACCAGATAATATAATATAATTTGTCATACCGTTAATTTTGTTTTTCTTCTGCATATTTTGGACATGGATTATATTAAATTACACAATTTCTCAAAATATTTCCAATTGTTTATGAATGTTAAATTACTACTATAACCGTTACATAACGGTTTTGAAATACATCAGGTATCGTGAGTTAAACGTATCCGACTCGCTCCATCGAGGTATGTAATTTCGATCATGTGGGGCAACGTCAAAAATTGATTCGCCTATTACCATTCCTAATATCGTCTCCAATAACATCTCTCTCTCTCTCCTCTCTCTCTCTCTCTCTCCTCCCTCCCTTCCACACTCTGTAATTTATAATTCCCGCCGCAAATTCGATTCCGAGTCTCGTCGCAGCTCTCTTGGGGACATGTGTGTGCCCATTCACCCATATATATGTCCACACATATATATACATCTGGAATGTATATACAATATACTATATACACACATATATGTGTTTGTTCGTATGCGTATGCATGCTACGAGTGTATTGATTGTAAGCATTAGCCGAGCTGGACTTTTCAGCGCAAATTGAAAAGTTCGCCTCAAAGCGCCGATGTGTTCCGTGCCGATGCTGCTTCGATCGCGAATCGGGGATTTACCCTTGCTAACGAGAGGATGCAGTCTGTCGGGTGCAGTTTTTACAGAGCGTAACACCAATTCGAATGGGTCAGTGGCTCGGCCATATTTCGGTCAGCATACAAGCCTCGGGCGAGCACGAAACGATTTCTATGGCGCACGTAGTAAAGAAGTTACCGGGCCTAAAGCGCAATGTTCTTCCGTTGCATAAGTAGCGATCGTTAATTCTTGCTGCAACAATAATAAAAAAATTTTCCAAGTTACAAAAATAACGTAATTTATGCTAACTTTTCTTTTTAACGTAATCGACGTGTAACACGAGAGTTTCACCTGTTTGAAAGAAATTCTTTCGTTTCGTATATTTTTGCAAAGTTTTTGTGTTGAAACTTTTTCCAAGAAATAAAATTTAGATCACATCGCTGGATTAACAAAATTTTCACAAAAAGATGTTCTGTCGTGAGCATCTCACAATTTTTATGCTGTTTTTATTACCATATATTCGCTTGTCACCGTATATAGAATGTATGTAATTTTATTTTGCAACAAACAGAATCGTTTAAAGTTTGTTCAAAGAACTGATCGAAATATGGCCGAATGAATACTCATTGATCCGTTCGAAATCGCGGCCTCGCTTTCTGAAAATTGCCATTACCGAGAATAGATGCAACGTTACGGTCTTTTCTTGCAATCGCGATAATAGTTTCATATACATTATTGCATTCGAGTCGTGAGTCGCTTCTCGGAAGTTGTGTCATTATTACTTGTGCTGTGAGAAATTATCTAACTCGTTATCGGTTCAATCACGAACTTCGAAACTGCTCTCCGTATAGCGATTCGTAACGTGTCGTTCGAAACATGTGTTCTTTTGCAGAGTTTATCTTCTTTAAAAATAGACACGTGTATATTATTTGCGCGTGATATTTTTGGCGCTTGTGAGAATCGTAAAAATGCTAAAATTTTAGAAAGAGAGGGTCCAATCTCCTTGAAAAAAAAAAATTTTATCTTCCACAAAGTCCTTTCATCGCAACCATTTTGCGATGCGTGTTCCAGCACGCGGATGCGAAGTACCAGCTGGCGCTTACGAGCGAATGTTACTCGTTCGCGCGTAATTCTCAGTCTTTCTTGAGTAAACTTCAACGATGCGCGGGAATATGGAAATAACGTTAGAGCTTCCACACACAACTGAATAAAAGATTTTTCAAATAATCGATAGTTTCGCCGCGCGGCGCGGCAGTGAAAAAATCGCAGAGTAGGTACACATCTCGATTAATAGAGCGTAAACAAAAAAAATTCAGTAATTCGACGGAAAAATTTTTCGCGAGAAAATTTTGAAATTTTTGTTCTTGTTTGCGTATTAATTGTTCCGAAATTGTCCCGAGAAGCCCGCGCGCGCGTTCCATTTGTATAAATTTTGTAAACCATATCTCGAAATGTTCCAGAGGTCTTGTGTAATATTACACCGCTTGCAATTTCATCCGGTTAATTTGTTGCCCATTATGTTGACGCAAATTAACTATATACAGCGATAGAGTGATAATTACACAATTGTACCAAATTAGAACAAAAGTTCGATCTCTTCAATTTTCGATAAACACATAAATCAGTTACAATGTTGCAGTATTGTATTTTATATCACTTTTTGTTGCGCGTGAACTTGACGCGAGGCACTGCCGTGCCTCTTGACGTATGTCAAAAAACTTCGGCACACATTTTGTTTCTAATAATAAAAAACAATGTTTATCGTGTAAGAATATTTTACGCATTTTGTATATAGTATATGTTTACGAGAAAAAAGTAATAGTCTTCCGATATATTTGCTCGTGTGCGTACATTTGCAGAACATGCAGAAAAGAATGTAAAATCGGTTTAAAAAAAAAAAAAAAAGAAAAAAAAAAGCACGCCGAGCGCGATACTGATCGGTACGGAGAAAGATAATAGAGAAAGAGAGTGAGGATGCAGCTAAAAATTCCGAACGGGTCAGTTCCACCGCGCGTATCTCGGAATCGCCGTTACGTGAAATGAACAGCTGCGCTGGCTATCCGCGCTCAAACGGAAACTGGTGACTCGATTCGAGCGGCAGCCGCGCATCAGCAAGACTGACTTTTTCATCTTTTGTAGTTTCTTCCATCTCGATTATCTCTTATCTCCGTCTCTTCTTATATTATCTCAATATGCATATATATAGAAAGAGATATATATTTTGCATAAAAAGGATTATTAACAAAAAAAAAAAAACAACAAATAAGTAAATTTTTTACTAATAGAGATGCGCGGATATAAAATTCCGATAGAACGCGCGCGTTTCTTCTCGCTGTACGCGCATGATGCGTTTGTAACGCATTTTAGTTGGATATAACGTAATGTTATTCATTAAACGTAACACCGTTTAACATTTTTAATGGTCGCTACGATGACCTATATCACATGAATATGGAGAGCAGAAGTAAACCAGCTCGTTGATGAAAATTGCCTCCGGTTTATACGCGCGCCGCGATAAATTAAATAAATATCACGTAAATAAACATGAATTACGTCATTACTTAGCAAATAGGATGCCGTAACTGTGCCAATTTTCCATCAAAATCAACCGAAATTACAACGTACGTATCAAGCTCGCGCCGCCGTTGGAATTACATGTTCGCGAATTAAGAGGAAAAGAGTTTATTTATCGCTCTCTCTTTCTCTCTTTGTAAATCGCGTTAATAATAAAAAAAAAATTCATACATGACACGTGAAAATACACAATGCATTTAAACAATGCTTTTAACGATAAAAGCGCGCCCGAGAATGTGCGGCTTTAAACGTTCCACAAGCGTAGTAGGTATATTAACGTTTATTTAGTACATATTTTCGTTGTTGTAAAGCAAACGCTATAAATAACAACAGATCGATTGTCTATTAAAGAATTGACTAACGTGCGAGAACACAACTATGAATTATAATCTAAAATAAAACCCGCTCTCTCTCTCTCTCTCTCTCTTTATTCAAGTTTTCTTTATTTCAGTTTTATATATATATAAATTAATACCCCGAAACAAGACACATAACAAGGCAACAAGGTTATTGCCTCTCGCAGAATTTTGCAAAATATGCGCCGCAAAATTCATCGCTCTCGCACAATGATTTAATTAATTATTCGAAGAAGGTAATTACACACGCATGACTCGGTCCGCTTTTTCCATCAGGCGCTATCAGGTGTAACGCGGAAGCGAAGTCAACGCGATGTTTGCGCTTGGTCCATCGGGAAAACAAATAGTACGATTGACCGCGTTAGCGTAATTTCATTTCTCTTCCAATCGAGATATATCCAGCGTACAAAAAAAAACTGACGAAGGATTGTGTGTATCTTTGCTCGAGTTCAATCAATTGCGAGCGAGATGCATTCCCGAGACGAAGATATTAGCCGTGTTTAAGTGACAAATTAGCATTACATTACATACATATATACATATATATATATATATATATATATATATATATATATATATGTCACGTACACACATCTACATACACATATGTTCATTTGCAATCCCTCATATCTTGAAAACACATCGAGCGCTGCCAAATATCTTTGAATGTGGATCTTGCTTTTAATTACGAACTCACTAATGAGCAGTTTAATCTGAAAACTTTGTGCCGCGTTTGTTTCCTGTACCTAATGTTTATCTTTCACGGTCTCCCGCACACCGCGACCAGTGATTCCGGTGTGATTAAGGCCGGTAGCGATGACGGGACCTTCTCTCTCTTTCTCTCTTTCTCTCTCTCTCTCTCTCTCTCTCTCTTTCTCTCCCTCTTCTCTGACCGCACTTACGTTAAATTCCTCTTGTTTACCGAGCGAACATGAATATGAAAGAGCTCTTTCGGGATTAATTATACGTAATTTTGCGCTTGTTCTCGTTAAAACTGTTGCGGCGGAGTGAGAGAGTTTTTTTATTCTCGCTTTTTATTACGATCGAATGATGAACCGAACGCACTTTTGAAGAAGCAACCTCGTGAGGAATTTTTTTTTTTTATCGCATTTAATATTAAAAAGTATATAATAATATATATATTGTTAATCACAAAATACAAGTCGAGAGTCATAATTATGCTCGAATATTTTTTTGTTTTGTTTGGATCTCTCTTCCGTAATTAATCTTTCGTAACTTTCAAACTCGAAAAATTTGCATATAATATGGGAACTGTAAAAACTTTGATTCATCACAATTGTAACAAAAAATATATGTATAAAAGTTTTTAATTAACGGATACTTGGTTTGAGATCTCGGTCTAAGGGAATATAGATACGTTCTGTAATCCATGAATCCACGAATCCAGCAGCAGTTTCTAGAATTAGAGACGAATGAAGATTATATTCGGTGAATTCTGTATCTCGCAGCACATAATAGCTGAGAGATACGACGATATATATATATATATATAATATGCGCGGAGGACGATTACGGACTCCGTGATTAACTGCGCGTTTCGCGTGAATTTAGACGCGCCGGAGACGAGACTAGTCGGTGTCCCAACTGGCCAACTGGAAGAAGGCCGCGATCAGCTCGAAGTCCGGTGCCTCGCCGACGCTAATCCACCGGCTTCGATTCTCTGGAGGAAAAGGAAGGGCGAGGGAGTGACGGAAGTGGCCAGTATCGGAGAGACCCTCATGTTCTCTCCAATTTATCGAAATCATGCCGCCGTTTATCTATGCGAGGCGTCCAACATCGAGGGCGAGAGCAGCCCGATCTCGGTCCAGGTGTCTGTGAACTGTACGTGCGCAGCTGTGTGTTATTTTTTCAAAATCTCTCTTTTCTATTTTAATACGTGTCACACTTTTTTTATTGTTGAACAGTGTCCTATAACCATGCCGAGTCACGAGAAAGTGTCATTTAAAAAAAAACAAAAGCATTCAGAATTTATTTTAATCTGAAAAAAAAAAACTGGATTACTTCATTTTCTTCGCAGATCCACCGACGATCAACGTAGTCGGACCGGAGCGATTGACGACTGCGTTACTGTATTCCGGGGCGTCATTTGAATGTCACGCTGACGCCATGCCGCCGGCCGAGTACAGGTGAGCCATGCATGTTTACCTTCGTTTTTTTTATTTACAAAGAGTAATCACATCATTCGATATGCGTTTTTTTTTTTTTTGTTAAAACTTCATTCAGCACACACACACTTGTCTCCGTCTTTCTCTCTTTCTTTCATATTTTGAAGTTTTTTCCATCCAGATATCATCAGAGTCTCTTTGTTTGATATATATTTTAAAACATACATTTCTGTCGCGTGTGCGCGCAGATGGGCACAGATATTCACGGACGGTCGCATGCCGTTGGAATGCGGTACGGGACAGCGATTGATCCTGACGAATGTGACATACGAGCAACAGGGTCAATACATATGTCTCGCGTCCAACAAGATCAATGGCAACATCAGGGAGGTTAAAAGCGACCCTGTGTCTCTGCAAGTGGTCGGCGCTCCACGGGTAAGGCGACGCGATGCGGAAACGTTTGAAAAAGTTTCGCTGCAAATCAGTTATCGAAGTAGTACGGGTCAGAGTGTAGGCGGACGTTGACGAATAACGGTTCGAACGGATCCGGAACAGAAAAAATATCGCTTCATTACTCTCTGCGGCTATACCGTTTCATTGATTATCTTCTCTCTCCCGCGAGAGAATCCGCGGGAGTGCTTCACGCTCGCCGTCCAAGTTCCCTGTCGTTCAAACTCCGACTTCGTTCGAATGTAATATCGGCAGAAAAATAGCGGAATGTATTTTCGTGACGAAGAAGAAGCGTTTCCGTCGCACATTAATCTCTTTCTGTCCCATTAGCTCTTAACGAAACGATACGTCGAGGGAGACGTCTTATATCGCACAGTCGCCATAACTTGCCCGCAAATAAGAGGACAGAAATTTTTTTACAGAATGATCCGACGTTTAATAAAAAAAAATACACATCTTTTACATTACGAACTTCTTACCCATCTCTTGATACACACGTTAGTATATTTTTTTCTTTCTCGTTTTGACCTTTTGTATAAACAAATAACGCGCGCATAAATATTATCAGTAATTATTTTTTTTTGTCATATATATACGCGCGGCAAAATACACACCAAGTACACACACACACACGTGCGTTTGACTTCGAATATACTTTTGCCGGCGATACGCTTTGTAATTCTCTTTTTTTTTTTTGTTCAGCTGTCAACAATGCTCGCATATTATTCCATCGTGTTTTATCGCACGCAGACTAAAAATCAATATCCTCGTTAATTGTAACGAACGGCAATTGTTTCGTTTCAAAGAGTGGCCCGATATTGTGCGAGCGCAAGCGCGCGTGTGCGTTTTTTTCTTTTTACTCCCTGTACGAAAAACGACTGTATACTAACAATTAATTGAAAAAAAAAAAAATCACTTCAATACTTTCGCGTGCAATGATCTGTCGTACAAATGCGCATTGTATAATTTGTTGCGCAAGAAATTTTTAATAACTATTTCTTTGATTCGCCGAAGAAATCCGATATTCACATCGTTTTGTGTAAAACACGTTTTTTATTTGCAAGTAAAATAACAACGGAGATTGAATTCCATTTCTATTTTTTTTTGTGATGTTCCGATTGTTTCGCGTCTGATCGGTAGTCGAATTTTATGGCCAATTACTTGATGTCATTAATGACCGTAAAAAAAATTCAATTTTTCTACGTATAACAGTTTGAATTTTTGCGGAATTTTGCTCACTTGCAGAACGCGTGCAACTTAATGCGAATCACTGGCTACGTAGCTGCGAAAGCTGTGATTTCCGTTTCATTTAATACGCCAAGCCACGTATCGAAATTAAACAGCGTTGGTGTGAGGGGTCGATATGTCGACCAAATTGATTTCAGAATTGCGCACATGTACCGTTATATCACATAATACTCTCTCTCACTCTCTCTCTCTCTCTCTCTTTGAGAATATCACGAGAAAGGAGCTTTTGATTATGATTTATTTCATCTGGAAGTCAACTAAAATGTCGACGAAATGAAATCAATGTTTTATGATTGCGATACGCGTTGCAAATACGCGCGCGACAAGTGTCTATAATATCGCTGCGTATTATAATATAAATGTTACGAAAATGAATAAATCACATTTTGTATGCGCGCGCACTTCAATCTGAAATTGATATAAATCAGGAGAAGTTCGAAACGCGATACCGGCGCAAATGAATACGGATTATTTTATTTAGAACATATTCTCGTAATGCAAATATATATAACGTCGTTAAAATATTTTCATTTTAACGTGTGGAATGTTACATCGAATGAAATTTTAACGGTCATAAATCACAAAATATTTTTCTTTCACCGTCGAAAATTGTATTCACACACAGCGCGCCGGGATTTTCTGTTTGCGAATCAAATATCATTTTCGCTTTCGTGTTTAGCGCTTAGTCACGTATCATTCGTATCTGAATTAAATTGCTAACGTTTATTGAGTCGCTACCGCTATTTTTCCTGATAACGCCTCTCTCTCTCTTTCTCTTTTTTTTTTTACGTGGCTTCCGACGTGTAGCGTGGTGAAAAGAATCGCGACGATTCATCAGTGATATTTTGATTTTTATTGCACACGATGAAATATATATATATACATATATAGCGATCGTATGTTTTTTTTTCGCTGCGAACGGTTTTTTGTGGCAAAAAAAAAAACTTAAAAAACGTCTCGTTGTCACGTTATAAACTAAACCGGTCAAATGTTTCATTGTTCGATGATCGCAGAACTTAGCAACCAACTTTCCCATTCAAAGGATGTTAAACGTGTGTCGCAGGTGGTGAAGCCGGCCATCACGGAGAAGTTCGTCGTTGTGACGACGGAAGGTAGCCCGGCCAGATTAGAGATCAGACTGTGCTCGGACCCGAAGCCGCGGCTCGTAGCCTGGGAATGGGGTAGCACCAGACTGCACGCGGGTTAGAGACTTGATCTTAACTACCACGAGAGAGAAACTACCACTAGGAGAAGTATTCTCGACTTCGCTTTCGCTTTCAAGATTTTGTCTCCGTTTTAGCAACTTTTGTAGCAACTTTTGTAGCAACTTTTTATAAATAACGTTCTCCCTTTTGTTTTTTAACATTGTTGGTACAACTGTAATTTCAAAATTACTCATCCGAGATATTACGTTAGACGTAAACATCGAAGGTCTATAAAGTACAATAATAGATAGCGTTTACATCTCACATTCGCGAACAAATGACAAAGAACGCCATTCGAAGCAGCAAGAAACTGAGAAATTAATGGACCGAAAACTTTCTATTACGGTTTAAAGGAACATTGATCTTCGCGTGGGGAGGGTTGCTTTTGTTTTATTTCCTTTCGCGATACAATGGTGCGTTTGGATCGTTCGCCGCACGTGCTTTCGCCGCAAACAGTGGTAGTAACTCGTACTAACGTTTATCTTTGTAAACGTGTCGGTAAACAACGCGAGATACGGTCAGCATAGTGCAAAACGAGAAGATAGATATGCGCTTTCGCAGCACGTTGTAAAATTGTTACAACCGCGACGCGCGAGCTAACTCGACTTTACTTTATTATAGCTTTGACTTCTCGTCGTTGGTATCTAGATACCAACTTTACCCTCTCTCTTCGTTACGTGTTTCCCTTCTCGTTATGCGTCTCCGCGGGACGAAACGCGCTCGTCACCTCCAACGAACCGTTAATGTATAAACTCTACTTTGGCTTTTGTTTCGAATACTGCAAACGGCGAGGTAGTATAATTATCAACGGTCTTCCGTTTCCTTTCTTCTTCAACTTCTTCGTCTTCCTTTCCTCTTCAGTTCGCGAAACTGCTCTCTGTCAAGTTTTCCTCTTTACCTCTGCCGTCGGCCAACTGGTCGACGAAGATCAGTGAGAAAAGCTCACTCGAGCTTTTGCCCTGGGAACGAGTACACATTGTTTTATTTTTGTTTTATCCTTGTCAGTGTAATTGGCACTTCTCGGCAGCAGTCACCTTATCGATGAGCGCGTTGCCGCACTCGTAATTACTCTCTTTAGTTAATTGATTATTCGCATGTAACTCGAGCTTACGATCTTGAGACCAATTTCCGCTCACACAAATCGATGCTCTCTACTCGCGCGCGCTGTCAATTTTTCCCGCCTCCGTTATTATTCGAGATAGCGATTAATTAGTCTTCTGTTGACACAGTTCTTCGTTCTCGGATAATTGCCTGCATTATATAAGAACCGAGTATACAGTATTTTAGCAAGTTTTATCTACACATCTATCGTGTTTGTGTGTATACATTTTCGAAATTAACTCAATTGTTATTATTTATTTAGTGCATATTTTTGATTTTTTTTTTGTTTTATTTTTTTTATTACTTTTGTACAGCTTCGTTGATTCAATTGACTTATACGCCTTCATCTCAGTGAGCAATGATTTTCGATTATTTTTCTTCGTTCATAGTGGAATGCGCATTGAATGAAAAGGTTGATTTGATTTTGCGACATTTTATTTCAGTTGAACGTAGAAGCGGAATAGATACGGGGAATAAATGCAAATTGTCGAGAGATGCATGGAGTCGTTCTATTATCGGCAGGTGAGGTTCTGGAACCGCGGTATCGCGCGCTCGATCTGGAGCCGCTGGCTTCGGAGGATTGTTACTTAGCGATCTTAGAGTTGACAACCACGGTGAAAGAGGATCAAAGGCTGTATCACGTTATCGTGGAGAACGATCGCGGCAGTGACAGACGTGTGCTCATGCTGAGGGTTGACGAACCCGGTCAGGTAAATAAAAAAAAAATTCTTTTTGCACAATCGTAATGTTTCACACGTAAAAATAACTACGGATATATTTTTTTTACCGTACCTTAGACACAGCAAGAAAATTGTGGCTGAGTGTTGAATTTCTTGTTTCATCAACAAAACGTTTTTCGCAAACGTGTTTGCAAAACAACAAAAAAGACTTCAATTCAAATCCAATTTGCTTGGCAAATTTTTCTTCCTAACCGTATATAGTATACTAATCTTCTTGCTATTCTATAGTAAACCTCTTTTTTTCTCGTGGTTTTATACGCGTGTATTTAAATATTTATAGCATCCACAAAGATGAAGAGAAAAATCTACTTATACTCGTTTTGTTTCTTTTTTTTTTTTTTTTACGGATCGATACACCGCTCGCGGTTCGCGCAAAGTGTTTTAGCGGCGCGACGCGCATGGAATATTTTTCTCTGCCGCAGATCCCGCTCGTTATCGGCGCGGTAGCTGGATTCACGGTGCTCGCAGTACTGATAATGGGATTCGTTTGTTTCCTACGCTCGGATAGTAGATGCTGCGTAGCCAGAAACACAGTACCGACGTTGCAGCAAGTGCATTGGTAAGCAAGCGATATTGCGATGCTGCACGGTGATTTATTGGCGAGTAGACGCGACGCGTCGCACCACCCCGTCGGTAGATCACGGCGCAATATTCCAATATTGTGTACATTTTGACTGTCTACGCATTTGCACACGCAAAGAGAAATTTCGCGAGAATTTTATATTACGCAAAAGGACACGAAATTTTGCAAAAACGCGCCAGTGTTTCTGAGTCGTTTTCATTGTTGTTGCACATATTTATCACTGAATATAAATAAGTAAAGAAAAGAATTATTTAAAAAAAAAGATGACGTAGTAGATCATCTAATCGATCAAGTGTTGTGACAAATCAAATGCTACATACTGTATCTCGAAACCTTCCAGACAATTTATTTTTTTTTCTCGGAAATAAGATCTTGTTCGAATCGGAGAGCTGATGGCAATAATGAATTATTTAATTACACCACAGTGTGTGAAGTTGTGCAATTTAGAACGCTCTCCGACCCAAATTTGTCGAGCACCTCTTTAAAAGCACGATCCGGAAAGAGTGGGATGTGTGTGTGTATGTATGTGTGTGTATGTGTAGAACGTCTATCTTTACCTACCTACGCAAAGCATCTAATGAAACGAAACCGAAACGATAACCGCTATTTTCACAGTACAAAGGCTTCTAACGCTATGATAGAGGATCCACGCTTGGCAGTGGATACGATGGAACGTACGAGTCAGCAGTTTGTTCCGGAGAAGCGAGCCAATCATGTTCTGAAACCCGTCCCGTCGCAGCAATACCAGCAGGAGTGTTATCAGCACGATCCGCAACACCAACAGCAACATTATCAGAGGCACCATCATCACGGGCAACCTCACGGACAATATACGTTGCAGGTCAGATAAGTTAAAAAATAAGAAACGAAACAAAAGCGAAACGAACTGTCCTCGCACTCACACTTGTCCGTGTTTTTTGCATTTTTACCTTCGTCTCTCTCGCACTTTGTCTGTCTATATATCCTTTTTCTCTTCTCTCTTTTTCTTCTTCTCTTTTATTTGTCACGCATCAAACATGCGCTTCCATAAAAAAAAAAAAAAAAAATTGCATGTGAATTCAACAAAATTTCTTTTGACACCTATTGTTTTCGACACGTTGCTGCTTGTTTGCGATCGTAGAATTTCGCACAGCAAACACAATACACGTTTAGTAAACACCTATCATTATTTTGTTTAATTGCTGATTACTTTTATAATGAGTCTCTCTCTCACATTCGTTGGCGCATATCTCCAGCAGAGAGCGTACTTTTCTGTGAATAATAATTCAAGTGATGAAAAAAAAAAAAAAAGCAATCTTTCTAAAAAATCCTTTGCTATACTCTCGCACGTGCATTTTTTAACGCAAGACTCCACTCATTCTCTTTAGTGTAAGTATATAAAGAGTATCAACGCCGCGTCACACACAGAGCTTCCATTTTGCCATATCACTCATCACTATCATTAGCTATTCCGCTTTTGAGATGTTTTCTCTTTTTTCGTTTTTTGTTTGTTTGTTTGTTTTTTTTTTCTTTTTTTGTTTTGTTTCAATTGCCTGCGCGCTTGTCCGAGAGTAATCACCTGACTGTAACGCACGCACGTACAAATTTAATCGATGCGAAAAGCAAAACTGCAAATGCTTGACCTGAATGCGCAACGAGTCGTCTGGATTTAAACTCTGGTGATTTAACTCGTATTAACAATGTTACCGCCTGTTTTTTTTTTTTTTTTGTTTCTTTTCTTTTTTGTTTTATTTTACCGGATTGTTTGTCGCGATACGCCACATGTGTATCTCGTATATATATATATTTCTGTCTTTCTCGCTTTCGGGGGCTCGTCAAATAAAGACAGACCACACTTACAGCAGGAAAATAATATAATACAATTATACGAACTGCTCAGACGTTGACGCGTCCCCCACACACACGTGTTGTAAATGTTGTAATTGTGTTCATTAATTGAGTCAATGAGAGCGTGCAATCCTTGGCGCAGGAAAAATTCCTTCTACAGGACGAAGAACGGGACACGCTAAATCGGATTAAAAAAGGCAAGGAACGAGGAGCGCAAACTTTCCACCTTTTCTCCCGGAAAGACCTCGAAGGTTTTATATATAAATAAAAATGTTGTATTGTGTTCTCCCGAAACATGTGTTCCAACATGTGGAGAGATGTATAGAACACACACACATACACACACACACACACACACGTTATACGCTTTAATGTATCAAACACACACTCTACTCTCTGTGTGGGTCGTCCAAAAATTTGTTTCTCACCGATAATGAGAGAGCGCGCCACTTCTCTTTTGTTATTTTTGCACGCGTACAACTTTATAATGACGCGTTATTGCGCGATCGTTACACACAATATGTTGCTACATATATATATATATACTATATATATACATGCGATATTATACGTGAGACGACATCATCCATTAGAGATTCGCGCAAGAAGTTTTTAGACGATCCAACCACGTTAAATTACAATACTTATGCGGCGACACGACGCGACGCGCCGCAAGTATCGAACGACGAGTTACGTTCTCCGATCGCGATAGTCGCTTGAGTGATTTATGCGCTCGGTAGGGTGCATTACGCATGCATTTGGTTGCATTTAGTTTCCCGGGTGTCCCTCCACCAATTACCGCTATGTCCTTGTTTGTAATTTAATTTAGATAGATGTACACACGTAAGTAGAGCGTGTCGAGAGAGTGTGAGAGATTGAGAGAGAGAGAGAGAGAGAGAGAGAAGAGAGAGAGAGAAGATAATACCGCCTGCCCGTAGCGGTTCTCGTTTTCGTCTTGTATATCTCTCTCGTCCTTTGTAAAAAAAAAAAATGTGTCCGAATCACACAAAACTTGAATTGAGCGGAATTCATTTGCGGTGGAAATGAATTAATAAATCTCTGAATTCCCATCAATTCTCAAGCGAGTTTCTCGTTTTTCGCACGGGGGAGGGGAAATAGCTCATCTCTTTGGTTTTTGTTTTGATTTCGCCCGCATACAGAAAGGAGTGTATTCTCTGCAGCCGCGCGTTCTGCGGGATTCAAGAACGTAAGACTGAACCGCTCGACCTAGACTGCCGAATTTACGCTTTAAAGTAGCAGCGCTTGAGACGACGGACGGCCGGTCGCGCATCGAGATCAGCCACAATCCAATCTTTTCGAGAAAAGAAACACACACTCACATACACACACATACACACGCACGCACACGGTTGTCACGAACAAATATAGTTGTAATTATAATAATTGTTATAACGCGAGGAACACCGTTACACGTTCTGTAACTGTCCCGTTTGTCGGGGGAAAAAAAAAATTGTTAATCGCGATTAGCGGATATAACTAACAAACTGCCACTTTTGTTTACGTTGACGTCGTATAAGGTGTTTCGAAACACATGATGAAACATTGTGAAAGAAACCTTGTCGCAAAAAAAAAAAAAAACAAACAAACAGACCATACCGAAAAAAGAATATTTGTATAATATAAGTATTAATTAGTTGAAAGTACGTGCTCATTACAATTTAATGACGATCTATTACTGTCTCTCTATCGCACGCAATCACACGCGCGCGCGCACACACACACACACACACATACACTAAGTGCATATGTACATACACATATATTGTACATATATACCATCACAACCCCCTTGACACGTCATCGTCCAATCAATGAAAGTTCAACAGAGTTAACAGCGATGTAATTGCCTACTCGCGACACTGCCATAATGAGCTTCTATATCGTTGTTACGAGGAGTAATTTAAACGACTGACGACCGACACAGTGATTTGATTTCGCAATAGTACAATATACGAGGATAATTTGAATCGGTTAAAAAAAAAAAAAAAAAAAACAAACAAAAAACAAGAGAAAAGGGACTCTCGAAAAACGAGAACCAATCTGTACAGAGATCGTTTCAGAGTGTCTCGATCAACGTGAGTGAGCATGTGTTGCATTTTCTATTTGTACCCTGCACCCTCGCCTGCATTGCGCGGATTGTGTACAGAAAAAAAAAACTTCCCTTATATTACCGATTATTACTTTTATTTTCAATCAAAATACGACGCACCGTCTTTTCTGCCGTCTTTATCTTGATCGTCCTAGTAAGATCGACCATATTGTATCTCCTGACTGTTATATCATCGTCATTAAAATTAAGTCCGAGGCGAGTATCACTGACTTTGTAATCGGAATTAATGATATGGAACTTTGTTGTATGGCGTATAAAATAGTTTTCGGAAGAATTCTCCGCGCGCGCGCACGCGCGAGTTCTCTTTCGTGTATAAAGTTGTCATCATTAAAAAAAAAAGAAAAAAAAACGATCATACACACGTATTGACATGTTTTCTCATCAATTCCCGCATACATCCTGATCCCCCGTACATCTCAAAATTGCGAAACTTTTTTTATATGTATGTGTATCTCAATCTCATTTTTAAAAAGTTTTATTACATTTTTCAAATAAATTTAAAAAATAATAAAATATTTTTTAAGTATATATATGTATATATATCTATATTACGCGATATAAAAATAATTATATACTATATATAATGCATTTTCATTTATGTATATATCCATGTACTTTGGTGCTCTCGACTTCCTTAGTTTCGGTCTTTCTCTTGCCTGTTATGCTGGATCTATAATACCTAACTGTAGCCTGGACTATTTGGCACCTGCGTTATCGGGATGTAGAACAACTCTGCAACTTTACGTTCTCGCGTCACATTTTGGGACGCGAATAGAATTTTGCACAAATTGCACCCACTATGCTAGTTTTTACCCCTGACTGCCAAGTGTAATGAACCTCCCGTAGAACATTTATTATGAGATAGCAATTTGCACTTGTATGCAATCCGCCATTAGCTCTCTATATCTCCACGTGAGATAACATGACTATCTTTATATTACAACAGCGTGTATTGACAAAATTCGTAATTTTCAAATACGATCCAAAAATTCAATTTATGCCGGTCTCTGTTATATAACTTTAAATACACATCTCGGTTTTTAAAATAGAAAAAATTTTGGTTTCCCGTGTTTTATCGACACAATTTTAAGAAATATAAATTACATGTCGCGTAGCATTTCATAATTTTTTATGTTTTATTAAATAATATATGTAAGTTTTTGACAGAGATGTGTGTATTGAGTAATTTTTAAAGATTTAATGTCTCGATCAGTGTAATCAATATTGAAGGTTTAAATTGTATCACGAGCTATATATAGCGAGTTAATTGCGCGGAAGGAAATTTGCGAGATATATACCGAGGGTTAAGATGGAAATTGTGCAGGGGGAGCAGCTGTTTCTCAAACCCGATCGCTTAGCGACGTTGAAGCCCCATTGCAGGAACGAGAAGCCGCCGCAATATACGACGTTCAAGCCAAACAATTGAAGATTTTGCTAAGCTTATTTTGTACCGAATGTATGTATGTACACGGATGAAAGAAAGAAAGTAAGATAGAAAGTAAGAGCGAATAAAACAATATCACCAAAAAAAATCACAAAGTAACATAGCATCAAATATAAAAAAAAAAAAAAAACTGTAGATTTGTCATTCTCTCGATTATTATTACGCGAATATAGAATATGTTTAGATAATTTCGCACACACACGCAAGTAAGAATTAACATGATATAAAATTGTGCAAATCCGTCGAGATCGAAAGATGGAGCAACGACGAAAAAATCTCTCTGACATCTGTCACTGCTATCAAATTCTTTGAAATTAAGATATCGATACGATCCCAGAACCAATCAAAACGGGAAATACGCATATTTATAAACGTTTACAACAATATTGTTAATAAAGCAATGATTTTCATCAATCACTATTTTTACTGACGTTTTGTAAGAGTATAAGCTTTTTATTATACTTTATCGTTCGTGAGCTTGTAAGAATGAATGAATTATAATTTGGTGCTTATGACAAGGAAAACGTTGTGCAAATACTACTATCATAAAAATATTTAAGAAACAAAAAATAACAGAAGCATTCGAAGCGCGAGCAACATTATCTCTCGAATATTATTGCGTTACAAACTCACGAACGATAATTGACTGCCGCTAAGAAATAAATAACTTTGTGTTGTAAAACATCAACGTGTTCTTGTGATATTTTGCAATATTCTCTCAAAAATAGTAAACTGCCAATGATAAGTGTAAAAAAAAAATTACTTTTGTGTTATTTTATTTTGAAGAAACAACACACATTTTTCACCCAATCTACTTCAATTTCAAAAATTAAAACCAGTCTAGTTGTATGTATAAAAAAACTTGTGCAAACTATTGTATCATCAACCATTACATCAATTTTTTTATAGAAAGAAGAACACGTTTTAATTTTATTTCTGCAATTTGCTATCGCTCTGTTTACTCATTTTTCGTTATTCTGTGATATTCTTTGATATGTGCGAAATGTCGTATTTCAAAAACTTAAGTAAAGTTCAGTTTTGGATTATCTTTTATAAAAGAAATATTTTGGATTATTTTCTATAAAATATATCTTTTTGCATGAAGAAACGAACATTTCGCACAGTGTCGAAATATGTCTCAATATATTACAACGTGAGAGATTTACCAGCACCTTTTTGTGACGCAACGACATTCGCCTCTTCCTCGCGGACTGATCGATCTTCGACAACAGGCTAATTTACCGATGCAGCACAAGGCTATGTAATGCAACTTTTCGCTTTTGCATCTTGCTTCGTGTACATCACGTTTACGAGAACAGGTGCACGCCGTACGATGATGATATATATTATTACAGTCGCACATGACGTTTTTTCGGCAACCAGTTTTCTCCGAGCATTTCCCGCGCGTTTGACCATGATACCTATCAATGTCGTGCGATAATTGTGCGTTGCTCTTTTCGGGCGGAGTCAGGCTTTGTTCCGTTTTCTCTTCGCCGGGAAATTGTTTTGAAGTTTTCTCGCTCTTAATTGCCGGATCGAGTCCATCGACGAGGTCGCAGCAAATTTCGCAACCGATACAAAATGCGCCGCAAAGCGGCGGCAAAGGTGCGAGATGAGACATTGCAATTTTTCTAAATTACACAATGTTAAAAAATTCTGTATAGACACACACGATTATAAATAAAACATAAAAAAGCTTTTGATAAAGCTTACAAGTTAAGCTTACCGCTCTTGCCGTTGCATCGCTCAGCGTGTGACGACATAAAACTCTCCATAAAGCGGTAGTGTGTAAATTTTTCTTCTATTATCTCCTTAAATCTAAACAAAGATGCGACGAACTCGCAGAAATCCTAACGTAAACGTCCGTTGATGACGATATTAATTAAGTTCAGAGAAAAAACTCACTCGCGGTATGTTTCAACCAAAACTGCCGCATAATGGCGGCAAAGTAGTGGGGAGTACCCACTCGAATGCCGTCGCAAGTGCAGCCGCGAATATATATGTTCACAATGCGACTCGCGCAATTTTTAACGCAACACGTCGACAATGTTAACAAAAAGAGAAAAACTTACAGTTACGAAAATGTCACAGCGAAAACGGAATCACAGGCGACGAACTCGTCAAACGCGAAACAAACTTCTCTTCTGTTGTCAGCAGTTCATATTGTTTTGCAACATTTTTTTTTTTTTGGTGAATCTTCTGATTGGTCGACTACTGCGCATCCGCCGTTAGCTAATGCTGCTCTGTGATTGGTCGGTTTGTTTACAACTTTGCAATTACGATTGGTCAATTCTGACAATAGATGATCGCTTGCATTGGAGATTTGATCTTAGAGAGATAGCGGAATGATCGCTCGCGAGTATGCTATCTTGATATTTCGCGTTCGTCTTTGTGTTCCATGAAAATTGACGGAAACGGAAACCTCGTGTCACCTCGTGTGTTGCCGCGGCTGTAAACGACGTACACGCATTAGCGTGTGTCGTAAATTACCTAATCGTTATCATGGCTGTACGTGTACAATTCGAAAACAACAATGAAATCGGCGTCTTCTCCAAGTTGACCAATTCGTATTGCTTGGCCGCGATCGGTGGGTCCGAAAATTTTTACAGGTAATAATGACGTCATTTGTAACGCAACTGTGTGCAATCGTTATTTGTGACAAACCGGTGTTAAATTTTAATTTATTTGTTGAATCAGAGCGCATGTGACATTTATTAATAACAAGCAATAATAACGAGATGTGCAAGATTATTTTGATATTATAACCTTAAAAGTTATCTCGCTCTACTCTAACTAACATATATATATATATATATATATATATATATATATATATATATATAATTATATGTGAAATTAAATTTTCAATAATCATACAACATTTAGTATATAATGAGTATACAAATGCATTATATTTATGTTGTTGACGTACTTTTCTAGTGTATTTGAGGGTGAATTAAGCGATACCATTCCAGTTATCCATGTATCAATAGCAGGATGTCGTATTATAGGACGGCTGTGTGTTGGCAAGTAAAACAAATTTGAATCCTTTTTCTCTTTTTTTTTTCACATGAGTGCCTTTTAAAAAAGTTGGTTTTAAATTATTTACATACACATTTTTTTATGAATATTTTATATTTATAATATAGGAAACAAAAATGGATTGTTAGTGCCGAATACAACAACTGATACAGAATTACTACACATTAGAAATTCCTTGCCTGATAATGTAAAAGTACAGAGGGTAGAAGAGAGACTCTCTGCCCTTGGAAATGTCATAGCATGCAATGATTATGTTGCTTTAATTCATCCAGATCTGGATAAAGTAAATATTGACTACATATTGATTCTATCAGTTTATGAAATGTACTATAATTTATTTTATCTGCATTACTTAAATAATTTTTTTTTTTTTTTACAGGAAACTGAAGAAATTTTATCCGATACCTTAAATGTCGAGGTATTTAGACAAACTGTCGCGAGTAATGTTCTTGTTGGATCGTACTGTGTTTTCTCTAATCAAGGTGGTCTAGTGCATCCAAACATGTCTATACAGGAACAGGATGAGTTATCTTCTCTTCTACAAGTACCACTTGCGGTAAGAAAAGAAATAGTCCGCGAGTTTTGGTCTTTTCAATTAATAAATTTATTAATTTAGTATATTTTATTTCAGACAGGAACAGTAAATAGAGGAAGCAATGTGATTGCTGCTGGAATGGTTGTAAATGATTGGGCTGCTTTTTGTGGTATGGACACAACTTCAACAGAAATTGCTCGTATTGAGAGCGTTTTTAAACTTAATGAAGCTAATCCTACTCCTGTTACAACAAGTATGCGAGCACCATTTATAGAAAGGTAAGACGTACACAATGACGTACGTGCATAATGTGTAATTATTTTGATAAGTTTCATGTATATAATATAAAACTTTGTTATTTTAGCATGTCGGATATGTAAAAGACCTCTCTTTATGTGAAGAGCACTGCAAACATTCTGGGATGATGTATTGTATGTATATAAACTTGATTTATATATTTATGATTTTAAACATCCGTGTGCAAGATACTTTTTTCTTTCTACCATATCCAAAGCAAAACCTACATTTCATTTTTAAAATAGAACAATAAATGTAATAGAAGATACTCTGTGTATTAAAATTTTACATATACGAACTGTTACTTCTTACTACATGATAAAATTCATTTCATAAAATATAAGTAGCAAGCTACATCGGAGAAAAAATTTTACAAATAAGCGAAATCTCTAGTGCAGCGCTGGCAATAAGCTCAAATGCACCGTTTTGACTTAAGCAGACTCAACAAAATCAATACAGACGCTGCTGGTGTTATATTGGTGTTATATTGTTTTCTTTAAAATCTGTTATTTACAATACAAAAAAAATATAATTTTACTATTTTTATTTTATCTTAAATTTTAAAGCAAAATGTATGGCGCTATAGTTTGATAATTTTGATGTCGGATTATTAACATTACTTGTGAGAATTTAATTTTTTTGAATTTAACATTGTAGCCAGATAAGGTCTTTCCGGTGTTGGACAGAGAAACTTTTCAAACAATGATAGAGAAACGTTCGTCGATTTACCATCCACTGGTTCTAACAAATTGTTCCACAGACCATTTGCATCTACAGTATTACCAACAAAGACATATATCTTTACATCTAATATATTTTACAATAAATATTATATAAAAAATAAACTTACACAAAGCATAGGATTTTTGACTGGGGTGCAAGCAATCCACACTTAACGATGACATATCGATATGTCCATTTGATTCGACTGGCAAAGTGAAATTTATCAGAATAGGCTGTGCCACAACTGTGAAATCATTCTTTTGAAATTCTGGATAAGCGGCGATTTCCATATCCAATTCCTGCCATCTAAGATATAATTTTATATTAAATTATATATATATATAAATGATTTTTTTTTTTCCCACAACCACACATACTTATCTGTAACTTGATATTTAGAAATGAGCTCTTAATTATAATACTTGTCTCACAACTTACACATTTGTTAGTATCGAAATAATGTTAGTAACATTAGCTGCGTGTGTGTGCGCGCCGAGTTTATTTATTTGCTTATAATATATACATACTTTCTCGCAAGATCATAATATATCGGCCTAAAGCGCCGAAATGCGAGGCCGAATATGCAAGGGCAAAAGAAAGTCGATGTAAAGTAGCAGAGTGGAGATGGATTTATTCTGCTCTCCTCTATCAAATCGACCACTACTTTTAAATGTAGTGGCGGAATCACCGCCACAAAAGTTCGTGGTAGATTATCTCTTAATGTTCGCAAAACTTGAAGAAGATCGGCCTTGTGTTGTTCAAGAAATGATGAAGGTGACGAAACCGTACATACGTTACACANGTCATTGACACCGATCATAATGGAGATAAACTATTAATAAGTCAGATTTAAAATGTTTGTATTTAATAAAATTTCCAAGTATTTTATGAATAATTTCAGGTTCAATGTAACAAACCTTCCAGTGCTTCTGCAAATNTATTCTCGGATCTTTTTTAATTCTCGTGACTAACGTTTCGGCCATAAAAGGCATGTCATCGGACGTAGCTCCGCTTTCAGCGACGTTCAGTTGCGATGCTTCATGGATTGTCAAAGAATCACCCAATGCGTATCCTATCAAATTGGGATTGAATTCCTAATATATTGAACATTCAAAGTACAATTACTTTGCAGACATACATAAATTCGCTAACTTTCATATGTAATAAAAAAATTTTATTTGATGAAGATGCTTCACCTTAATGATGTTAGGAAGAGTCAAAAATTCTCTCCATGTGGCTTGACCTCCACCAGACGCTGAAATTCCTCTGTTTTCAATTAAGATATGAACTATAGAAGTCGCGAGAGCTCCAGCTGCGGCTGTAAGCGAGTCACCCATTGCGGCAATAACATCAATATCACCAGGTCTTAATTTATGCACAGAATCCGGTACCTCCGGCGATCGACCATCTATAAAGAGTATGTAATGTAAACGAAGTTGTGTAGAAATACATAAACTTAATGTAAAGTACATACATGTATATGCAAAAACAAATAATTTTAGACTGATTTTTTAATAACAGATTTTAATTAGTAAAAATTGTAAATAAACAAATTAAATAGTTCTCTGCAGATAATTGTGACAAAGTGTTTTATTATNCTACTTGTTACAGTGCAAGAAAACGAGGCGTTAGTAGATGTAGATACGCACATTAATGTAGTTTTCAAGACAAAACTGTGACGCAAAGTGATTAAACATCTTACTTGTTACATCGCAAGGAAACGAGATGTTAATAGGAACGGGTGTCTGCGTTCTTTTTGCGGTTTTCGCCGCTTGCAAGTACCGTGCTTCAGTTCCCGTTTTACCTACGAAACATAATTAAAATTCTTATAATTTCTTTTGTGTCATAGTGTCGAAGTTGTTTAAACGATCTTTCTTTTTCTTGTCAATGTTGCGTTTAAAGTGATTTTTCCAAAGCGCCTAATAAATAAAGCAATATTTTATCTTTCTCTCTTTCTCTCTCTTTCTCCGAGAAAATATACACAAAAAGTAATCAATTTCCACTCACTTTAACTTGGTTTGATCGATGTTTTCCGTGTTCTGTGTTTCTCGAAATATGTTGAAAAACTATGAATGTTCATTTTTATATTTTTTTTTACACATACCGTAAGTATCGTAAGTCCAATTTCGAAAAATACGAAGCAACATCAAATTGATAGACGAGTCCAGGTCGGTTTTTCGACATGACGTTGTAGCTAATAAATACAACAAGATAAAAGAAACCAACCAACACTTNCACATTGTGTAGCAAAACATATTGCGTGGAACTGACAATGAAGCTAGTTTTTAAATACCCAGTGCTCCACCACCTTGCAAAATATACAGCTTGCTACTCATTATAAAACANNGTCATCTTTTCGTCTTTCTACAAATCAAGGTTTTGCGTCACTGAAGGCAAACTTCTCCAAAAAGTTATAACACTCACGAACGCACCTCTTCAAAAATGCTTTCACTTGCGCACATTTTGTGCGGATGAATAATTTGATTGGTTTCGATTCACAATGTNCTAAAAATAATTTTCAAAACTTAAAAGTTGTTTAAAAACGTAATGCGTTCTGAAACACACTTAAAAATATCTGCTTTAATCATGCGCATAAAACGCGCTTTTGAACAGCTCACATAGCGCACATACTATTACGAAATTATATCACAGTAAAATTGCAATAAATCAATAATGTTAGATATTATAATACAATATCACTATAATATTATCGATATTTGTATTATATTTATATATGATAATGAAATATTTTAATAATATTGTATTGCTTCTAAAGTAACAAGATTAAATATGTTTTCGTTGCATACATCGCAATGTATCTTACATGTGTATAATATGATACATATCTTAATTTGCTATGTTATTGCAAAAACTCTACGAATATTGTTCTAAACATAAAAGCTTTGTTTTCAAAATGTATTATATCAACAAACACACTTTGTGTGTGTATAACATTTTTACTGCACAATTATTTATTATATAATTATTATTATATAATAAAATTGATACATATAAATGTGTATTGTATATAGTTTAATATATCATTTAGTATTCATTGTATTAGCGGAATGACTATAATAATCATTATCAATAATTGATTATAATAATCAGTACATGTTAACATAAAATGTGTTCGCGTACTAACAATGTATTTTAAATTATATTTAATAATAATAATAATATTTATATAACAATAATACTTATAATAATAATATTAATAATTTTAGTGGTATTGCAAGTACTTTGCACTGCAATAGTTTTGATAAAATTCTAATGTGCTTAAATAATAAATGAAATGTGTAGAATAGCTTGAGAATTCCTTTCTAAAGCAACATATCTAAAGCAAAACCTACATTTCGTTTTCAAAATACAACAATAAGTGTAATACAAAAAATACTCTGTGTAGTAACACTTTGCAAATATAAACTGTTACTCCTTACTACACGATAAGATCCTTTTCATAAACAATAAATAGCTAGGTACATTTGGAGAACACAGTTTACAAATGAGCGACATCTCTAGCGGAGCGCTAAAACTAAGCTCAAATGAGCCGATTTGACTCAAGCGGAACCAAGAAAATCAAGAAAAATGATGTAGTGGTATAACTATTTTTTAATAAAATATAGTTATTAGTTATAAAAAAAAATATATATATACTTTATGTAATATAATATATATATTTTGCCATTTTTATTTTACCCTAAATTTTAAAGCAAACTGTATACATACCGGTATACATACCGGTTTAGTTTTATAAGTGTGATGTCGAATTATTAACATTACTTGTAAGAATTTAATTTTTTTCATTTAAACATTGTAGCCAGATAAGGTCTTTCCGGTGTTGGACAGAGGAACTTTTCGAACAATGATTTTGAGTAGTTCGTCGATTTAGCACCCACTGGTTCTAACAAATTGTTCCACAGACCATTTGCATCTACAGTATTAACAACAAAGACATATATCTTTACATCTAATATATTTTACAATAAATATTATATAAAAAATAAACTTACACAAAGCATAAGTTTTTTGACTGCCGTGAAAACAATCNANACTTAACGCTGACATATCGATATATCCATCTGATTCAACTGGCAATGTAAAATTTAGCAGAATAGGTTGTGCCACAACTGCAAAATCATTCTTTTGGAATTCTGGATAAGCGGCGATTTCCATATCTACTTCCTGCCATCTAAGATATAATTTTATATTAAATTTTTTTTTTTTTTTCACACAACCACACACACTTATCTGTAACTTGATATTTAGAAATGAGCTCTTAATTAGAATACTTATCTTGCACCTTAACCTTTTGTTATTATTCAAAATAATGTTATTAATATCAGCTGCGTGTGTGTGTGCGCAGAGTTTATTTATTTCCTTATAATATTATACATACTTTCTCANAATATCGTAATATATCGGTCTAAAGCGATGAAATGCAAGTCCGAACATGCAAGAACACTCAATATTCGTTGTAAGGTAGCAGAGTGAAGATGGATTTTTTTTTTTGCCTTCCATAAAATCGATCAATATTTTTAAATTTGGTGGCGGAATCAACGCCACAAAAGTTCGTGGTAAATTATCTCTTAATGTTCGCAAAACTTGAAGTAGATGGACCTTATGTTTTTCAATAATCGACCAAGGTGACGAAACCCAACATATGTCGGAACAAAAATCATTGCCACCGATCATAATGGAGATAAACTATTAANAAGTCAAATTTAAAATATTCGTTTTTGATAAAATTTCCACGAATTTTATAAATAATTTATAATTAATTTAGGTTCAATGTAACAAACCTTCCAGTGTTTTTGCAAATCTATCCTCGGATCTTTTTTAATTCTCGCGACTACCGTTTTGGCCATAAAAGGCGTGTCTTCGGACATAGCTCCGCTTTCAGCGACGTTCAGTTGCGATGCTTCATGGATTGTCAAAGAATCACCTAATGCGTATCCTATCAAATTGGGATTGAATTCCTAACATATTGTACATTCAAAGATACAATTAATTTGCAGACATACATAAATTCGCTAACTTTCATATGTAATAAAAAAATTTTATTTGATGAAGGTGCTTTACCTTAATGATATTAGGTAGCGTCAAAAATTCTCTCCATGTGGCTTGACCTCCACCAGACGGTGAAATTCCTCTGTTTTCAATTAAGATATGAACTATAGAAGTCGCGAGAGCTCCAGATGCGGCTGTAAGCGAGTCACCCATTGCGGCAATAACATCAATATCGCCAGGTCTTAATTTATGCACAGAATCCGGTATGTTCGGCGATCGACCATCTATAAAGAGTATGTAATGTAAACGAAGTTGTGTAGAAATACATAAACTTAATGTAAAGTACATACATGTATATGCAAAAA